AAAAAAAAAATCAAAAGGTAAGATCAAACAATGCTAAAAAGTCTTAAATTCTTCCTTATTTCTTCCACACTTTCAAATAAAGAAAGGGAAATGAATATGAATTGAGAAGTGATGTATGCTTAGCAGGAAGAGAGGGGTCATTTCATTCACCTCTTCCTTTAATTCTCCCAGTTTCTCTGAGCATAGGTGTCCCTGCAGATGTAGGAAGTGAGATTCTGAGTGAGTAGATCCTTTGGTTCACCCAGTTTTTGCTGATTGTTAGAATGTGACCTCCATCTTTCCACTTTTCTATGTATTAAATAATCATTAGTGAGCTATAAAGCTCAATGGAACTCATATTGTTTGGTCCATAATGAGGTAGTAATGGGAGATTACTCAGGTTTTAGACCCCATCCTGTAAAGATTATATCCTAGGACTTTATTAAATTAAAACATTTTGTAACATTTAAGGCCCAATGTATGACAGAATTTTATTTTATTTATTTGTTTTTTTGAGACAGAGTGTCACTGTGTCGCCCTCAGTATAGTGCCATGGCGTCACAGCTTACAGCAACCTCACACTCTTGGGCTTAAGCAATTCTCCTGTCTCACCCTCCCAAGTAGCTGGGACTACAGGCACCTGCTACTACGTCCAGCTATTTTCTTTGTTGTAGTGTCATTGTTTAGCAGGTTCAGGCCAGGTTTGAACCTGCCAGCCCCCGTGTATGTGGCTGGCACCCTAACCACTGAGCTACAGGTGCCGAGCCAGAATTTTAAATATTCAGTGGAGAAAGGACTTACATAGAAGTTGTATTTACTTCTAAGTTGTCTGATTTTTAACTAGAGAGAGTTTGGGAGTTCTGAATAGTTGAACATAAAAGCACATATACTCATTAAAATTATTCTGTAAACTACTTATGTATACTGTATTTGTTTACATAGGTACTGATCCTTCTACTGAAATATGTAGATACATTACTTTATAGAGAAACTTTAGAGGGAAGTACGAGTTTTATTGAAGTGGTGTTTTAATAATTTTTTATAGAATATTCTTAGCTTCTAGTATTTATCAGACTGGGGGGAGGATCATAATTATATCTTTATATGAATGTACTAATTCATTTAATCTTCATAATAATCCCCATATGGTTAAGTCATTTGCCCAGGGTTTTAGAGCCAGTAAATAGTATAATCAGAATTGGAACTCAAGGGATTTGACTCAGAACACATGCTGTTAAATAAAATTAACTACTGTACAGTGAATGATTAGGCTACTTGATTACCCAGATATGGATATTTAGGGCTGATTTCAGTCCTATCTTTTTTTTTTTTTTTTTTTTTTGAGACAGTCTCACTTTGTTGCCCTCAGTAGAGTGCTGTGGCATCACAGCTCACAGCAACTTCCAGCTCTTGG